GATCAAATTGCTTTCATGATTCCTTTCTTTCTTTGGGTTCTTGCACTCGGCTGCATAGTGCTCGAGCTCTTGGCAGTTGTAACATTGGACTTCACTTTTATCTTGTCTATGGCTTCTTTCTTTCTGCTGGTTAGAACCACCTCTGCCTCGACCACCTCGACCACCACAAGGACCACCCCTGCTTCGGCCTCTTCCTCTTCCCTGTGATGACCCACCACAATTTCCTTTTGGGGTTGACCTTGAACTGCCTTCTCCTTTCTTCTTGTTTCTCTCAGTCCACTCTTGGTGGGTTAAGAGAAGCTTTCTTACTTCACTTTCACCATGTCCTTTCAGTCTTTCTTCATGAGCCTTCAGCCTCCCAATGACTTCTTCAGTTGTCATTGTTTCCAGGTCCCCAAATTGTTCAAGAGTTGAAGCAATTTGGAGAAACTTAGTGGATACTGCCCTAAGCATCTTCTTCACTACATGGGACTCATTCACTGTGTCCCCCAATGTACGCAAAGAACTTACTAAGTTGCTTATTTTGGCAGCAAAGTCATCAACCCCTTCTGATTCCTTCATGTTTAAGGATTCACACTCAGCTTTCAATGTTTGAATCCTTGCTGTCTTGACACGATCTGCTCCTAGGAACATCACCTTCAAAGCATCCCATGCTTCCTTAGTTGTCTTCTTCTCAGACAAGGACAACAACAGGTCCTCGGGAATCCCTTGGTAAATAGCAGCCAATGACAACTTGTCTTTCTTGATCTCCACAGCTGTGTTGGCCGTTCTGGGTTCCACTGCCTCCCAGACTCCTTGGGCTTGCATGAAAACTCTCATCTTTATAGCCCATGCAGAATAGTTGCTTCTTGACAGCATCGGGTAGTGAAAGGTGATTGGACTCTCTTTTTCCCCATTTCCATTGCTTCCTGCCATCTCTTCACGAGTTTGGTACTTTGGCATACAACAACCAGCCTTTGCTCTGATACCAAGTGTTGGTAAATAGCAGGGGTAATAAAGTCTTTTATTACCAAAATGGGAAGTAACACAACAAAAGGAGAAGCTGCACAGGGGACAAATTTGATAAGGAGCAGGGAAGGGCAAATCTGGAAAAAACAGTTCTAAAAAACTGCACAGTGAAGGAATACACAAAAAAGACAAGTGAAAACACAGGGAACAATATGAGGCAAAGTATTCTACTTTATTCACTGAACAAAAGTAATTAAAACTAGGAATACATTCAACATACATTTGCCTCTCTACTTATACTAAAGCATAGCTGAAAAACAGGAACTAACTTGACTAGTTGCCAAAGACCAGGAACACACTCATTGGAACTTTGATTTATTCAAACATCAAATAAAATGTGCATAACACAATAATTCATAATTATTCTTAACAATGCGACATACGAATCATGGTCTGAAATTGATACTATTGTTCTCCAGTGGATACACGGTGCACTTTCTGATAATCTTCTGGTTCGTATATTGGAACCCGACACCACAACATATGAATCATGGAAGAAATTATCATCAATCTTCCTCAACAATAAGGGATCTAATGCAACAGCTTTGGAACATGAGTTCAACAACCTCAAACTCTCAGCCATGTCATCATTGGAAGACTACTGTCAATGCCTAAGGATTTGGCCTCGCAACTCGACGATGTTGAAAGTCTGGTAACAGAAAATCATCTTGTACTTCAACTGGTACATGGCTTACCCTCTGAATTTGATATTGTGGCTTTTTTATCAACCAAAGCCTGCCAACATGGGAAATGGCATGTAGCATGCTTCAACTTGAACAACATCTCCAATCCAGTCGAGAGAGCAATAACACAACCATAAACTCTTCTGGTGGAGCCCTTATTGCTACACACACCGCCATAGCTGATGAACCAACTCCTCCAAACCATAATCGCCGACCCTGATTAAACCAAAATTGCCGCCCTATAAACATAGTAACCGTGGTCATGGCGGAAACAACACTTGTGGTCGCGGTGCTCCTTTTGGTAATCACAGCACCAGACCTCCAGGTGCACCTCTGGGTAATGCCCATACCCGTATTGGGTTGCATACTCTCCACCACCATGTCTTTTTCCTACTCAGCAAGGTTGGTCCTACCCATGGAATTACGGACACCTATATCAGCAGTAGTAGTATAGACCTTATCGTTCAACTCATCAACCACACCAGGCCCAACAACAATCAACACATTTGGCTGAAACAAACCCGCTGGACCCCACAGCTCTTGGAGAAGGTTTGCACACGATTGTTGGGTTAATCGGATATTATGTGTAGGGGTATTTTGTGGAAAGTTTTGTTTTTTACTTTCTTTCAAAGTTTTTGTATTAGAGTCAAACTCTTGTTTTGTTTAGTATAAGTAGGGATATGTAATTGAAGTTTTATAATTCATTTTTCTGCCTTAATAAGAAATATACTAGCAGCCTAAGGAAATTTCCGAGTTTCTTTTATTCCTTTGTTTGTCGTTCTTCTTCCTTGTTCATAATAGGGGATTCATCAAAGTTGAATCCAACACTTGGTATCAGAGCCTAGGTCTTGTGAGGACGTAACCCTAGTAGCCAATAGTATATATAGACCCTTTGGGTGGAGGAAATCGGCACTCTTGTATCCCAAGAAACCCTAGAGCCGATTTTCTCACCCTCCTCTCTCTCTCTCTCTATCATCATCCTCTTGCTAGTTAGTGTTTGTAAGCCATTAGAGGAGTGACAATTGTGACTCTAAGCTCCAAAGACAAGAAGATTCAAGCAAGCAACTCAAGGTACTCCTTTAGATCTGTTTTCTTATGTTATGATTTGAATGTTTATACTAGATCTATCAATAGAAGTCTTGGATACATTGCATGTTCAATTAGAGAAACCTAGATCCAAGCATTAGGGTTTGCATGTGCACATAGGAAAGTTCTTATGGCTCAAACCCATCACAAATTTCTATTTTTAGAAGGTAAACTTAGGGTTTACCATGTGTGGATTGATAGGAGGTGTTCAACACCCATCTTTTGGCGGTGAGTTGTTAGTTGCGGTCGATGCGACGTTGAGTTGGGTTTTTAGTCGGCTTTGTGGTTCAGGTGAGTCTCCTCAATATACTTGGGGGTCAAAGACACCATTGCCGACCCATTGATATATGTTACATAGGAAGACTAGGGTGGCCCCTGCAAATTGTATGAAAGACTTGGAGGTGGCTCCCGGCAAATTGTATGCAAGACCAGGATTTGGACTCCTGGTAGTTATATGTAGTATGCTAGTTGTCTTTGTGATACATGCATGGAAGACCAAGATGTGGCTCTTGGCACTTGCCTATAAGACTCGGGTTTTTGCCCCGGCTTGGCAAGGAAAGACCATGTTACAGCTCATGGCATAATGACAATTATGAGACTATGGATGACACATATCAATCTCTATTGTATGTATGATATGTGGTATTTTGGGGAACTCACTAAGCTTTGTACTTACAGTTTTATGTTTATGGTTTCAGGTACTTTCGGTACGAAAGGGAAATGTCCGGCTTGACTGCACATCATCCCTAGAGTTTTCGCAGTGACTATTTGTGATTTTTTACTCTGATGTTTAAATAATATATTCACTTTGATTGGTCTTGGAACAACTTGTTTGTATGGTTTATCTTTTAAAAAACAAAACAAAAAAATAATTACTATGAATTTTTGGGACGTCGCACTAATGTTTGAACTTGTTGCATTCTATAACAATTATTTTACAAATTTAAAAATTTTCTTTTGTAAAAAATTTGTTTAAAACTTTTTTATTGTTCTTTTTTAAAAAACTTGTTTAAAACATCTTTTTAACAAAAGTGTAATAAAAAATACGTTACACAACATAAATTGTGAGTGAAAAACGTCGAAATAATTGTACAAATGCAAATGTATAAGAAAGATATTTTTAAAAATTGTAGTTCAAGTTTAAAAGACAATAAAGACTATAAAAACGTTACATAGAAGTGTAAAGAAAAATTTAAAAAGAGATTATAATACAAGTTTTAAAAGGTTGTAAAAGAATTCAAAATAGTGTATAAAAATTTCAAAAATGCCTTTAAAAAGTTTTTAAAAAAAAAATAAGTATATAATTTCGTAAAAGAAAAATAATTTCAAAAAAATTTCGGACCAAAATTCATAACAAAATTTAGAATATAGACTAAAATTATAAAAATTAAAATATACACATCTACAACTTATAAAAATCAAAAAACAAAAGTTTATTATATTTTTTTATAATATATTTTGTTCGTAACTTAAATATTTTATTTTTCAAAAATAATGGTAACACTTGATTTTTACGGCTCCATCAAAACTAGCTTTCCCGTTCCCATTTCCCTTTCCCTTTAAAATCCCCAACCCCTCTGTCTATCCTCCGGGCTCTGGCCCCTTCCGTTGACAAAATCCCGTTTAACGAACCCACTATGACAACCCCATCTCGCCCCTGCCTTCACTCTCTAGCCACTGCCACACACCCCTCTAAATCGAGGGCCGAGACCCTGTACCATCAACGTCGTCGGTGAGTGGTGGTGAAAATGATTATTGATGTGGATCGATCGGAATGACAGTGAGAAAGAAACAGAGGAAGTTAAGAGAGAAGGTTTTGGAGCAATTTTCTGCTATATTCCCAACAAAAGGTCTTTGCCCTTTATTCTAGCACAATCCTAACTTCTTAGGAAACAGGAAAACAAAAGCAATAATTAAAATAGACCACTAAGTAATTATCCCATCCAAACAATGGACACATAACAATTATTTAGTGGGGGAAAGGCCTACTCATCATGTTATGGTTATTGCAATTTCAAATTCACTGAAGCAGGTTTCAATGTCGGCTACTGTGATCTCTAGCAATGGCTCTCAATTGGTTGTTTACCAGAAATTGATAAAATCCATCCGTGGAAATCGCAAGGAGGTTTGCGAGTCTGGACATTACCAGTAAACAAAGGTATGATATCTGGGTTTTGTTTTCTTTTAGTTAATAAATATTTCGTTTTTCTAAAGTAATTGCGCAAAAAAAAATTAATAAACCTATTATATTCTATGTGAATGGAGACTTTGGAAGTTTGTTGAAAAGTCAACAAATGCCATGTCTTAAATGTTTAGTTGAAGGAGTGGGTGACAATGGAATATTGGAATAGATGGAATAGAGTTTTGTGTTGAATTGTTACCATTGACTTGATGACTTATGTGTGGAAATTTTGAGCATTGACTTGATGACTTATGTGTGGAAATTTTGAGCGTTCATACATATTCATTTCATCATATATCAAATGTTTACCAAGCAAAGCTAAGCAACCAAATCTACCCGGAAGTTTAATGTTGTGAGTGTCTACAAAGCCACCATTTGCTACTAAAATGGAATGTTGGGCTTGTAGTAAGCGGAAATCATTGCAATATTCATTGTTGATGTTAATGATGATACATATTCTAGTGGCTGGGCATACACAAGGGGATTGTGTAGAAGAGGAGAGAAAGGCACTACTGGAAATCAAAGCCTCCCTTATGAAGTCATATGATTCTGAAATTGACAAATTTCTCCCTACCTGGGTTGATTATGGCAGTGGTACACCTGGTGATGGTGGCAACAACTGTTGTGATTGGGAGAGGATCAACTGCAGCACAACAACAGGGCATGTGACAGAACTCTCTTTGTACAATTTAAGAGGGGCAAAAGATGTTTACATGGATAATGAGAGCAAGTTGTGGCCATTGAATGTTTCCTTGTTTCTTCATTTTAATGAGTTGACTAGTCTCAATTTGTCAGATAATTTTCTTGATAAAGAGTTTATTAAGACAGGTACAACGTGAGTAATTGCTGTAGTATTTCTTTCACCTGGTTCCAATGTCATATTTATTCGAGTGAGCACTAATTTATGAACACAACATCCAACTAATTTATGTACACTCAAAGACGCTTCTTATGTAACTTAGTAGTTGGATAATATTTTTCTATTTATAAAAGACTGAACACAAGTTTTTATGTGTACTTCATATCCTGCAATTTATGCTACAACTTTTTAGTATTTATCGATGTTGCTCAAAAGGTTGTCCTTTCAATATCAAAAGACAAGGATGCCCGTGTTAAAAAATTTCTCTTTTGCAGGACTTGAAAGGTTGTCAAGTTTGAAGAAGTTGGAGGTACTAGACCTTAGTGGGAATCGTGATATCGATAACGACATCCTTCCATCATTAAAGACACTCGCTTCACTCAAAGTCTTGGATCTTAGCCACACTAGCTTGAATGGAAACTTCCCTACCAATGGTAGGTTTGCGTCTTACTCGTTTTTCTTTATTTAGGTTATCATCATATCATGCACAAATTCTTGTTTTAAAGATACTTGCACCCTTTTCAAATGAATTTCAGAATTTGCTGCTTTAGAGAACTTGGAGATGCTGGATCTAAGCGACTGTGGCTTCAATGGTACCTTTGAGATTCCAGGTAATCAGTATCATCATAAAACCATCATGCCAATATAGTATCTGTATTAGTGATAGTAACTACCACAATACACTACAATCAAGTCACTTTGTCAGATATGATAATAATTCTTGTAAGGGTAGCATAACAATATTAGAAAAATGGATATATATATATATATATATATATATATATATATATATATACTCCTAAACAGCTTTGTTGCTCTATCAACCTAGAGCTTATAAATTCAACTGCTACAACTCCTAAATGTAGGTTCTGAGAGGGTTTCTGTATTGAAGAAGTTGAAAACTTTAAATGTTGCGGGCAACAAATTTAACGAAAGCATCATAAGATCTTTAAATACCCTTTCATTGCTCACAAGCTTGGATCTTAGCCACAGTCTAATGTCAGGACCATTTCCAGCTCAAGGTATGTGCTATTCCTGTATATAGCTCTTTCCAAAGTTGTCGGGGTATCATTTGTAGACCATATGAACTTAATTGATTTTATCTTGTTTCCAATTTGGTACGATGCATGAGAACCTATATTTATAGAGTGCTTGTGAGATGTTGTGTCATGTCTATGTGTGATCTTCACTCATTAAGGAGCATAAGTGTTTCAGTTGCATTAGCTTATTTATCAATGAGACAGAATAGGTGCAGGGGGGACTTCTGTTTATGTTTCAAAGTAGTGGTACTGATATGAAAATTCCTGCAGAAAGAGGGACAAAGTCCAAGAAATTTAGTATACATGTCTCAATGTATATGTAATTGTAGATATCATTTTTTATCTAACAGAAGACAGAAATATTATCTTATGGTCCAAGGAGATCATCTGGTGTGGGGTCGTGCCTGTTATTTATGCCAGTGGTGATCTATGGAAGTAGTCCTTCTATCCTTAGGCAAGGGGTTGCCTGCATCTTAATTCTTACCTTCCATTTACCTGATTCTTATGATACATGGGTATTGATATTGATATTGATCGATACATAATTGCCTATAAAATAATTTTTCATGGTCTTGGGTAGATGTTTATGATATATTAATATCACTAGTTCTATTATCTATTAAATTTACGTTTAAAAAACACTAAAGTGGATGTTGACTAAACATATTGAATGTGCAATTTGATAGTAAAACATTCCTGCATCCTATACTTATATTTTCTATTAACAATTACATATATCTATCTTTCTAGCTTTTTCAGTTGTATATACTTTCTGAAACTTGTAAAATAAAATATAATGTTTTATGTTTTTGATGTCAAATAAGCAGTTACTTTTCCATAACTTGGCGTCACAAAAATAGTTACACTAAAAAAATTTGGTATGTGGTAATTGTTGAGGTTGGAAAATTCTTCTATTAAACAATAAAATAGAATTACAATAGGAGGAGCAACTCTCACACTCAACTATTACAAAAAACCAACCCTCTCACTAACACTCTCACTCTAAGTGTTATACTATCTGTTTCTCTGTGTTTTTGGGATGCTTACAACTGAAGCATGAAGTCTCTATTTATAGTCTTGGCAGCCACCATTGTAGTTGCCTTCATTAAGTGTGTTCATCATAGGGTGGGAAGAAAAACTTGTCCCGTAGGTTTCATTTTGTCAACAATGGTGGCTACTGTAGCTTTGGAGGCTTTGGAGGCTGGAACACAACAGTAATCACAATATTCACTACAAAAATTGACATCACAAAAGGAAAGACACATTTTGAAAATGCGTAGTTCTTGAAATTCAGTCACATTTTAAACTTAACATCATAAAACGTATTTACATTCAAATATAAATTTTTTACTTCTAACTGCATCTAAGGGAAAAAAATTTAAATGCATATATGCAATTGGAAAAATATGAAAATATAAGCTACGTAGAAATCCTAAGGGGTTGTGCTAAAGTAGGCTAGGGGTGACATCAGGACCGAGTACTTGGAGCCAGTCCGGACACAAACCAATCTCACTGAGGATTGGCCCGGTTCCAAATATTGAGAGCCGATTGGAGTTTGGTTGGCATCTGGTTCTTGACTTTTTTACAAGGTCGGAAACATGTTAATTTGGGGTTGTTAATTAGTAGTAGAATCATGCTGGACTTGGTGTATATTTATAATATTTAAATGTAAATTGTTGGCGTGGACTTCTAATGGTTTTAATCGTCGGTTTAATTAGATACAATTTGTAAAAAAAGGTGTTAGAGTTGGAGATATTAGTCACATTAGCCTGAATGATAGTTCCCTAGCAGTGGCATGTTTTCGTCTTTTCATATCTTCTTTTAAGTTATCATGCACAAATGCCTGTTTTAAAGATACTTGCACCCTTTTCAAATGAATTGCAGAATTTGCTGCTTTAGAGAACTTGGAGACGTTGGATCTAAGCTATTGTGGCTTCAGTGGTACCTTTGAGATTCAAGGTAAATCAATATCATCATAAAACCACCATGCCAATATAGCCGCCTTGGATTCATACACAGATCCCTCTTTTGCAACATTACAAGACCATATATAGCAGAATGACTCTTTCATGTGTTGAAGCTTGAAATATGACCCGTTTCTTTTCTTGGGACAAAGAAAATTTGCAGTGAGGACTTGATACTTGAAAGATAAACATTATTAAAATTAGATATGAATATATACTTGTGTATGTTCTCATAACCTGATTTGTCTTATCAAACTAAAGCTTACAAATTCACTACTTCAATGTCTAAATGTAGGTTCTGAGAGGGATGTCATATTGAGGAAGTTGAAAACTCTAAATCTTGCTTACAACAGATTTAATGAAAGCGTTATAACATCACTAAGTATCCTTTCATCGCTTACAAACTTGGATCTTAGCTACAATCAAATGTCGGGATCATTTCCAGCTCAAGGTACGTGCTATGACTATAGTTTATTTGATTTAGTACAGGAGTCGGTGATGATTTTGGTGAAGGGATTTGATTTTTAATTTTGTTTTAGGGATTTAGGGTTTTGATTAAGGTTTTGAGGAAGAAGTGAGATACTCTAAGGCTACCTGTTTAGAGTGGTGTAGAAAGACTAATGAACTATATTCAAAATTGTACATCTGAAAATAGCATGCATAATACATGATATATATGTGTTTTTCTTTCGTATTACAGAATTATCACATCTCACTAACCTGGAGGAGCTGGATTTAAGTGAAACAGAGCTCAACAGCGCACCAAATATCCAAGGTAAATGAATTCTCTTTTCTACAGCCTGTGAGAGCTTATCCTAGCCACGGTATGTTAACTTGTGAATAGTGATGAAGTTCCTAAATGCTAATGAATCCTAAATTCTTTCATAATTACAAACTTTACAAGGCCATGCATGGTTTCTCTAAGATTTACGTACCTTCCTTCAATTTTACAGCTTGTAAGACTCTATTGAAATTGAAAAGGCTGAAGAGTATAAATCTATCAGATAACAATTTCAACAAGAGCATCATATCATGCCTAAGTGCCCTCCCATCCCTCAAGATTCTTGATCTTTCACATTCTTTTTCATGGGGAAGTTCCTTTCCTGTCCAAGGCATGTTTATCTTAAAAGAGTCGTCAATAAAGAAATCCAATACAAATATTATTTATTAGTTTCCATTTTTGCTAATTGTTTTATCAAACTGATTGACACGTCTCTCTAATTCAGAAATCTTTACTTTGCCTGATTTGGAAGTCCTCTTCTTGAGAGATAATGGTTTCAATGGAACAATACCAATGGAAGGTAACGTTCTTTCGTCATTACTTAATTAACAACATTATTATTGGTTTAAGAAGTCATCTGAAGATGAAAGGTTAATGAGGTGGGTGGGTAAGTGGCCCAATACCTTATCTAGCTTCAACCATCAATCATACATGACTTGTAACATATCCTTTTCCATGGTTTTCTTTAGCAACCAACATTTCTCTTGTTTCAATCCAGCTTTTGCATCTTTCCACCATTTGGAGATGTTAGATTTGAGTGGCAACAGTTTTGTTGGGATCATCCCATCAGCAATACCAGCATTATCTTCCCTGAGAGCTGTCTCATTCGCTTACAATTATCTTAATGGATCATTATCAGATCATGGTAAGTTATCTAAAGTATGCACATTTCAGTGTTACGATTATTTTGCAACATTACCTTTCCTCGATGGTTGATCTTTTTGAAGGCGTATGACCATGCAAATGAAAGTCATATATATTTTTGGAAGGTTAATCTTTTGTAACTTACCCTTTGAGTTTCATGGCTTACGCAGAACATTTTTTTTTTCTTGTTTGACAGGGTTATGCGAGTTGAAGAACCTCCATGAGTTGGAACTTAGTGGCAACATGCTCCATGGAACTCTGCCTCAGTGTTTGAAAAATCTATCATCTCTTAAGTTGTTGGATATTTCTTCAAACCAATTCTCAGGGATACTTAAGCCATCCCTCATTGCTAATCTTACATCTCTCGAATATATTGATTTTAGTCATAACAAATTTGAAGGTTCATTCTCCTTCAGCTCCTTATCCAATCATATAAAGCTTGAGGTTGTTCGATTCAGAAGCGACAATGACAAGTTTGAGGTGGAAACAGAAGAGCCTATAGGTTGGATTCCAATGTTTCAGTTGGAAATTCTTGAGCTATCTAATTGTAATATGAAAATGCCTAAAGGACATGTCATTCCTGGGTTTCTAGTTCACCAGCACAAGTTACGGCTACTAGACATGTCACAGAACTCCTTGGAGGGACACTTCCCAAATTGGTTGGTTAAAAACAACACGTATCTGGAAGGTCTTGTTCTAAGGAACAACTTGTTTGTCGGTATGCCTTTGTATAGGAATGCTAATATGCTGGAGTTGGATATGTCTGGGAATGGAATGATAGGTACTCTTCCTGACGATATACCAAAGTTCTTTCCCAACATGGGGCATTTGAATTTGTCCATGAATAGTTTAAGTGGTGTTATCCCATCCTCAGTCGGTGAATTGAGTGAATTAGTGATGCTGGATTTATCAGACAATGAGTTATCAGGAGAAATACCAAAGGGATTCTTTACTAAAAAGTCTAGTTTGATGATCTTAAAACTATCAAAGAACAAGTTGCACGGCCAGGTACTCTCAGGAAACTTAACCTGGGGCAGCCTCTATTTGGTTTACTTAGATAGCAACCATTTCACAGGGAAAATTGGAAATAAGAGCAACAAGGAAACTCATGAATCTCTGAGCGTTCTGGATATTAGCAATAACTTGTTTACAGGTATCATCCCTGATTGGATAAGCAACATGAGTAGCTTGTCTGAATTGGTGGTGAGAAATAATAGTTTCCAAGGCCCGTTTCCTTGTGGAGCAGCTCCATTTTCATTTCTTGATATCTCCCATAATTCTTTCTCCGGACCCATCCCGTCCTGTTTGAATTTGCAAGACATGGAGCATCTTCTTTTGGGTTCCAACAAATTCATTGGATCAATACCCAAATCCTTTCGTAATTTGACTCAGGTTTTGACTTTGGACATTGGCGACAACTCCTTGTCAGGCAGGATTCCTACATTTCTTGGTGAACTATCCACTTTAAGGATTCTTCTTTTAAGAAAAAACAACTTGAGTGATTCCATCCCGAAGCAGTTGTGTCAATTAAGTAAAGTGAGCTTGTTAGACTTATCTGGTAACTCACTTTCTGGTTCCGTACCTAGCTGCCTTCACAATATTACTGGCCCAACCGACCTTGCTTTCTTCAAATATGTGAAGGTGAGGTATAGGCTTGATTCCTCTCCCCATTATGGGAGTATTCTATTGGGGATGCATCCTATCTACCTCAACAGTGAAGTATTGGAAACACAAGATGAAATTCAATATACAACAAAAAGGCTCTTTCTCAGCTACAAGGGTGGCATCCTTGATTACATGACAGGGTTGGATCTATCTAGTAACAAACTTACAGGTGAAATTCCACAAGAACTTGGGGGGTTGAGCCAGATTCGCGCTTTAAACCTGTCTCACAATCAGCTGACTGGACCCATTCCAGCGAGCTTCTCAAATCTTGCAAATATAGAAAGCTTGGACCTTTCTTCAAACAGTTTGACCGGAAAAGTTCCGTCAGAACTGATTCAGATCAATTTTCTATCTTTTTTCGATGTGTCTCACAACAATTTGTCGGGTAGACTCCCAGAAATGAAAGGACAGTTTAGTACCTTTACAAAAGCGAGCTACCAAGGCAATCCACTTCTTTGTGGACCACCACTAGACAATAGATGCATAACTCAGTCACAGGCTTCTAAAGAAGAAAAACGCACTGAGAAATGGTATGATATCGATATGACGTGTTTCTATGGAAGTTCTAGTTCAACATGTGTTGTGTTCTTGTTGGGATTTTTTGCGCTTCTTTACATCAATCCTTACTGGCGCAGATGGTGGCTAAACTCGGTTGAAGAGTGTATGTATGCATGCTGTTACTTCATTTATGATTCACTAAGAAAGCCTTGTATGATCTTCCGCAAGTAGGACCTCATGTTACATTATAAAATATAAACATCAACTTACTTTTGTATCAATCTGAATTTTTCTGTTTGATATATGTATGATGATGCACAATAATACCCTAGTAGTGATTATAAGTGAATATGTTGTTATATAATTGAATTGTAGAATGATGTAATTCAGTGTAATCATAAGCTACTCCCTTTTTTCAAATTGCAAAATTATTACCAAAAGCTAGCATATACCCATATCAGCGGACAAAAAAAGAACAGAGTTTGTTGCTGAGGAATAATAGCAGATTTTAGATTTTTCACCCATCCTAACCAAACTATTTACCCTATTCCACTACATGATATCAAAAATGGCGTTACCACTTGCATTAAATTGGACCTGAGTTAAGGTTGTAAACTAGTAATTAATTAACTGGAATATGTTACCACCTATTGATGTTTATTTCTTCGTCAAACCTTCTAAATTTATCTTACCTGCAAGAGAAACCATATACGGCATCAAATGCTCAAAATCTCACCATGATTCCAACTCAAATCCAAT